ATTAATTAATAATTAATTCAGTATATTCGTCGTTGCCATCCAGACCAACTCACACAAGCACAAAAAAAAAAAAAAAATTTTTTTTTTTACTAAAACAATAAAAGCACACAAAAACATATAAAAAAAATGAAAACTCATATTTTCCACCCTCAAACTTAAAATAGATATTGTCATCAATATCTTTAATCCTAAATCCCATATAAAAGGCTGGGAAAGAATGTGAAGAAAATACTCCCCTGAAATGGCTTGTAATTAAATGGCTAGCCTTCATATTGCTTCCGTTGGCTCCTTTGTCAATATTGGTTTAAATGTTCCGCTAAAAGTTCTGCTGGAACATAAAATAGTTATTGGGTGGTCTATAGCATACATAAGAAAGATTAGTCCATCAATATGCATGAACAAAATCTTGATGAAAGAAGAATATAAGCGAACAATGGAAAATCAGCGCAGATTTAATCCCATCATGAAGGACGTCGTGTGAGCAGGGATATTGAAGCTCATTGATGCAAGCAACATCCATTCAATCTTTGATAGAAAATGAGTTAATCTGATTCAAGTTGTACCAAATAAATGAGGGATTATAGTGGTAAAAAATGACAATAATGAACTAATACCGACAAGGCCAGTCAAGGGATAGAGATTACCATTTTGCCTTTTTAGATTTGATCAAAATACATTTTCTTGGTCAACTAATGTTCATTTCCATCTCTCTCTGTACTACAACAAGATGAAAGATTTGGAATCGTGGATGGTATAAAGTGAAAGTTGAAGTAAAGTCTTTGAAAAAGAGAAACGTTTGGGACCGTCAGTGCAATTATTCATTTAATTTGTCATTAATTTACCTAGATTAATTAATTCACCTCCGTCATTCCTAATTTACATAAATCAATGTGTCATGGCAACACATGTGACGAAAAATATCACGCGGTGTGACAAAATCAAATTTATTCGTTTATTGTTAAATTATAATTCCTTCATTATATGATCCGTTTAGTTACGAGATATGAAGAAGTCTCAATTTTGTTTAATCAATTATATATTTCATTCCACTCTTAAGTTAATAATTGTTGAAACTCTTTCCAACTAATGAACTCAAATTGGCCAAGGATGTCTATATCAACTTATGTGCATGCAACTTAAACCATAATATCTTACTCTCTAAGAATGACGAATCATCTATTAATCATTCACAATTTTCATGTGATTCTTGACCTACTCAAACAATATCGTATTAACGACTCTTGGTAGAACAACATCCAATATTACAAAAGTATAACTAACCTCATATAAGGCACTATGATGATCTCAAGTTGAAGCACCAATTCCACTACTGAACTTTAAAGATTAATCATTGATACTCAAATAGTTATCTATGTAGAATTTCTACATCGGGTTTCAAATGTTTTGTTCTTATAACAAAATACACGCATTAATTTAAATTTCACTATCTGATTTAGTGCGCTTGCACAAGATTCACTATCCCAAACTTTTATATGAGACGAATTAGACATTCTGCCTTTCCATAACTTGTGTAAAGTTTTTTAACCTATTTACATGGACACAATTTAGTGTGTAGTACACGAGATTCAATGCATGACCCCCAGAACAATATTGAGAAGTTTACATGGCTCATCATTGATCACACCATATTAATATTATGTGATTTTTCATTTCAGATATCCCATTATATTGCAATGTATATGGCGGAGTCCACTACAAGAAAATATCATTCTCGTTTAGATAATATAAAAACTCACATTTAAGATATTCTCTGCCTCGTAAGCATTATTTGAATACGTCAAATTATACAAATTTATTTGGCCATAAATATCCATCTCTATGTAATTTGAAAATGCATTTTGCATTTATGTGACCTAGTTTACAATGCCAGAGATAGGTATTTATAGGTTATTACTTTTATGCCGTTTATTTTCTATACTTATAACAGAAGACTCAGTATTTAGAATATAAATGTCATTTTATAATTTATCACAATGCAACAATTGTTAAAGAGTTTTACTCTGATATTCCCAGAAACATTGGCAAAACAGGAAACCCTTTTAGATGGAGGACATGTGAGGGGGACTGGGGACTTTCAGGCCTTCGGTTTTAAGGAACAGGCTAGGTCTGGATGAAGTAAGTGAAGGGAGTGATGAAGACCTGACCACTGATGATGTGTCCATGGAATTAACTAGGAAAAGATGGCCTCAACATCATGCTAACTTTCCTGCTTCCAGACTGACCCCTGAGTATAGAATCCTCTTCAAAAAATTTATTCGCAATCTGGACCCATCACTCGGACTTGTCACATGAACGTGCAGTGTTGTTGTTTAAATTGGGCACAAGGTTAGGGTGGATTTAATCAAATTGATTTTTGACAGAATTGTTCATAAAGGGCCAAGGAGGGCCAAACAATACATACTTCCCTACCCCCGTCTTATTCTCCATTTTTTATCTGACCTAAGGATACTAGATCTTCCTTCTGATAGATACTCCACTCTCATTCCTATTCTGGAGGTAAATGAGTTGGTTAATCTGGACAGTATTCCTACTCCAACACCCAGGGTTCCTAAGCACATGCTATCACAGGATCATTCTGAAAGATTGGATCTATTGGAGAATCATCTGAGGGTAGTCAAAAACCAGGTGGGCACAATTTTCTTAACAACCCAAAAGATGTCTGATGATTTAAAGGCTGTGTGTACAGGATTGTGAAATCATTAGCGTACATTGGTGATGAGCGAATCAGAACTGCTTGGATGAAGAGCACCCCTGGATTTCCTGAATATGTGCCTGGATATGGAGGCTTTACAGAACCAGCAGGAGGAAGTGCTGCACAGTGTGTCACCGTCAGTCCCCACCAGGAAGCACCTGATACACACGGTCAGGACTCACCTTCCTCAATCGAGCATGAAGATGTTCAGATTGGAGATACTAACACTGCACACCCAGATGTCCCTCACGAACCTGTTGATGATCCTGATTCTCCCAGTGATAAAAAGCCCAGGACAGAGTAATAATCTCGTTTTGCCCTCCTATCTTCTAACTCTTGCACTAACTATTTGATGGGCTTATAACATGACACTAACTATTTGGGATATACTTTCATTGAATGACTGATTGTTATACTTGTTGTTGGTTGGTATGTTTGCTCTCCCACTTTTATAGTGGGCTTTTTAAATTTCAAAAAGGGGGGAGTAGTAGTTTTTTTTTTTTTTGAACACTATTTGCAGTATTTAGGACCCTTTATATGTGCTAAGTTTGATAACTTTCATTTTTCAAGTATATTACTTCATATTTATATTATGTTGCAGCATATTTGCTTAGTTTTTACTTGACTTATATACTATGTGATATATTGGTTGGTTTTATTTAGAGTGAGTTGTGTGTTGCTTAACAGAACTAACTCATGGGAGTAGTTCATATACTGTATTTTTCAAACACTCTACACACACTCACAAAAGAGATATTAAAAATCTAAAAGATATTTTAGAAATTAAGCTAAGCCAAAGGGATAGATTGTGAATAAAATATATTTTATATTTCTACTTATTAATTATTTATTGGCTTGCTTAAACTAGAATAATTTTTAAATGTCAAAACATGTGTCAAAAACGTGTTCAACTCATGCAGTCCAAATAAGTAAGCCGGTGGTGATACAGGTAAACAATTTTCTTGGCTGCTAATTTTAGGATTTTCATGCCCTAAACGAGATGCTATATTACCTTCCATATAGCAGCATATATAAAAATATATATTTACAATCTTGGACTGGTTCGATTGTTGAAATAATGAAAAGAAGGAAAGATAGATTTAACTAATCAAAACTTTCCTTAATTTAATTATGGACCATATCAAACATATTCTACATTATTCTTAAAGTGTAGAACTGTTATATTTTAGATAAGAGACGTTCATATTTTGGAAGTCTTTATATAAGTAAAGAAAAGTATTAAGGGACGAACCAATACTTTGAAAAAAATCTACCTACGCCTGGTGAACCTATAGTAAAATTCTATATCTTCTAACTATCTCCAATGCGTTTTGCTCGGCTGATGTTCCAGTGAAATATCTCAAGCGAAAATCACGTTGTTTAACCGTAATTGAAGAGAACACACATGTTTACTGCTATGATTCTACTCAAAGAACATGCTACTTGGCGTGAATTAAGATTGGTGAATTTTAATTCAACTGATAATTGCAACCGAATACAATAGTGAAGTGACAATAAAGTCAAGATTTGAGGGTTTGATTCAACTTTTCTAACAAGTCAAAATGAATAAAAAAAAATGAGAGAGTTGTTCTTTATTAAACTTTTCTTGGCCCGTGGATGTTTTCCTTAAGGATTTACCATATTAATCTTGTGTTCATTACTTTTTATTTACGCAATTGACAATAACTCGTTGAACACTAAGCTGTTTAGTTGTGTCAGTTAGAACGGTGTTTAAAACTCCATATAGGAAGTTTCGACTTACTGGCAAAACTTACTTGAAACGAATAATTGAGAAAAAATACATTCTTCTGAAAAATGGAGACCATTCAAAAACCGATTGCTACGTAAATTCCTAGGCTTTGTCGTCTTGTAAAATTTTGTTTCTTCTTCCCAACATGTTACCTTCATGTTGTTTGGGACATTTTAATGTTCTTTAAAAAATAGAAGTTCCACATGACTTGACACAGAGAGATTAGATTAAAAAATCCACGAATAGAACAGTAATTTCTTTTCTTTAACGTATATAAATGCCAAACTGTGGGTACAATTCACAATAATACAAACATAAACGAAACGTTCAAATTTCAATGGTTTCATACAATAGAAAAGGGAAGAAGCAGAAAGAAAAAAGAAAGAATATATAACAAATCGACTTTTGTTTTCATTCAAACAATAATTTGTAAAAATAATCTTCCACCAGCCAGGCTTCTTAGCTGAAATTTGCTGTCCCCTATTGAGGTGTCAACATTTTTTGCGGTACAACTGATCTCAACTCCGGCTTCTTTCATCAAGGCTTTGCCGGCTCTGCTGCTGGAGCAGGTGGTGGTGTTTCTTCAACCTTTGGTGGCTCAGCCGTAGTCGTACAAGCGCCGGCCAGCCCAGCCCCCTCAGCAGCCGGTGCTTCTTCTTTCTTCTCTTCTTCCACAACAATATCCTTCTCTTTCACCTCTGTGCAGCCACTCGTATCTTCTCCAGTTTTCTCCGGAGTTGGCGGTGCGGCCTTTTCTTTTTTCTCCTCCGTGACTATAAAAGTAGAGACTTGCTCAAACACGAAGAAAACCGGACCTGGTAGATACGCAGGCCCGACTTTGGAAGCTGCTTCACACACTGGTTTCGTCCCCGGAAATTCTTTCAAGGATAAGGAAAAACATGATTAATAATCATGATCAAATATGCAGTTTCACTAATTAATTAGTATTTATTAATTACCAATCTTGGCAAGCTCGTCGAGGAATTTTTGAACTGCTGCTGAATGCTTCTTGAGACCTGCCTCTTTGGGTTCCTTCACCAAAGTCTGCAGGAATAAAGATTATTCAGAAAAATAATTATCAAATTATTGATTTGAGTAAGAACTTTAACTTTCTTGATATTTTAATATGGAACTCGAAGTCACGAAAAGAGGGTTAAGGTACCTTGATCTCAGTGGATGAAGCTTCGTAGATTTCGACAACTTTGGGTTGAAGCTCAGTCTTTTTCTCTTCGAACTCTTTAGCGTATTGCTCCTGAATCCAATAAAAAAAATAAACTACGTTAATGAAGGAGTTATCGAAGAAAGATACTAGATATTCACTCGTAAAAATTAATACAAGTTCCTACCTTAGCCTCATCGAAGAGCTTGCAAGCTTCCGCTGCAGCGGTCTTCTTGGGGCCGTTTTTATCAAAAACCTTCTTGATCGTCGGAAGAACCTTGGATTTCCAATAATTTGCCATCTTCGATCAACTGATGTTGTTCTATTCGACCCGAAACTTTTAAACTCTATACAAATACGCGCGCCACACACAAAAGGAAAATCACAACGTAAGTACAAGTAAAAGTTATTAGTGATAAAACATAAGAAATAACAAACTATGCATGCTTAAAAAGAGATTTTGAAGAAGAAGAAGAAAGAACCTCTCTATCATGAATAATAATGTTGAATGCGAAGGTTGGCTTTGTGTGGTCTTCCAATAAATTCGAATGTCAGCAAATTGTGTCTTGCTTGTATTGTATTTGTATCCAAATCAAGGGAATTATTAATTAAAAGGGTTGGGAACCACATATCAATAATGAATAAACTTAGGGTGTGTTTGTTGCATTTATTTTTCATGAAAAATGACAGTTTTTCATTTAAATTCATACTTTTGAGTGTTTTCTTTTTTTTTTCCATTGAAAATATTTTTCAACTTTTGAAAATATGTCTAATTTTTCTAATTTTTAAGCAAAACATTTTTTTGTGTAAAGTAGGTTTTTGTTTTTCTCAAAATAAGGAAAACATTTTTTTTTTTAGGAGATATTTTTCATATTATATTGGATTGCATTTATTTTCATGGAAAATATCAGATTCCATCCAAATTCATAATTTGAAGTGTTTGATTACTATTTTTTTCATGGAAAATATTTACCAACTTTTAAAAATATGTCTAATTTTCCTTGTTTTTAAAGAAAATATTTTCTTTGGGGTAGTAAGTTTTTTGTCTTCCTGAAAATAAGGAAAATATTTTCTATCCTATGGTATATTAGTGTTTCTCCATTATCAGGGTACAATATTTCATCTCAATTTGAACACGAACAGAAATTAAAAGTTACACGCATTTTTATCTTCAATATTCTATTAATTATAACGTCTTGTCATTAATAAAAATTAATGTTGGAAAAGTCAATTAAGATAGGATAATACGACCACTCTTTAATACATCCGTACGAAAAGACGTAATTGTCCCTGTTATCCTTGACACATGGAGTGTCAAAAACGTACTTTCCCCATTCCAATAATGTGTTAGTTGGCATGACTGGTTTCCAATCAAAATATTAAAATAGAAGGCATCAACAACTACAAGCAAGCCAACAAGTAAACGATACAGATACGTGAAGCGGTGGAGAATGATAGGGGTAGAATAGGAAATAAATATGTCGACGACAGCTGTCAATCAGAGGTGGCAACATCACACGTAGGACCCACTCATAGCGATACTGATCTGTAGATTCACAACTTCTTTCTCTCACGTGGCTTAGCTGTCTCTACAGCCAAGGACCCCACCCACCAGCTGACATCCAAGTCATCAGATATTCTTGCGGATTTTAACTCATCTTTGATCGAAAATTTTAATTTTAATTTAAAATTAAGAATTAATTTATATTATGAAATTCACAATTTTTAATCTTCAATTTTTATCTACTAGTATTCTTCTTATTACTCATTGTTACTAGTTTTTTCTTCTTTTTAAAATTAGTACACATTTAGCTCATCTTATTGGAGAGAATTAGTAGCAATGGAGCAAGAAATTATTTTTCGGATCAAAAATCAAGTTGCAATAAGTTTTACTTGAACGAGCTCTGTAATATTTGTAACTTAGAGAGTTCTAACATTTGTCGTCCATAAAAAAAAAAGTTAGATTGAATTTTTATAGCCTCTGCATAGCGGAATTAAAATCAAGATTTATCTGAGTTAAATTCAATAATTAATTTTAATCACATAATTTCATGATACAATACTTCTCAAAGGCACATTTCATCTTTTTTTTTTTTTATCAAATTCTATTAAAAATCTAATTTTTAGCTATATTAAATAGGAACTTAGCCCATGTTTGAGCCACATTATTTTTCTCATTTTCATTCTTCTACTCATTTTCAACCACACATTCTTCAATAAAATAATATTTTCTATCACATTAATAGCTTTTTCTTCTTTTTTAACCACATATTTCTCATCACATCAATATTAAAAATGTATTCTTTCTCTCAAAATGTGTATCAAACAGGGGCTAATAAAAAATGTCTAATAAAAGTATTTTTCTTCAATTCATATTAGTATACTTTTTTGTTGGCTTGTTTAGCACAAAAATTTCTTACGTTTTGCTTGTAGTGTGCAAAAGGTCCATGCTTTTCAATTTTTCATATATTCATCCATATTTACATGTTTCATTGTGAATAACGTTATTTTCATTAATTTTTATCCATTTTCTCAATAAAAATTCATGAAATGACAAATAGACACTCCTATTTAAATAAAAGAAAATAAAAAAATTAACTGAAACCATAGGCCCAGATTTATCAAAAAATTACAAATGAGATCCAAAATCAATTAAAATAGTAATTTTATATTTTACTATTAATTAAAATAGTAAATTTTTGTTTTATATAATAAAACAATAAAAATAAAATAATTAAATAAAAAATTTTAAAAACCAAAACCCAAATGAAAAGCCACCCCACCCCAAAACCAAACCCAAGACAACAGGAACGGATGTCGATATCTAATAATACTTTTTTGTTGGCTTGTTAGCACAAAAGTATCTTATGTTTTGCTTGTAGTGTGCAAAACGTCAATCCGTTTCAATTTTTTGCATTTTCATTCATATTTAAATGTTTCATTGTGAAAACGTTATTTCCATCAATTTTTATCTAATTTCTCAATAAAAATTCATGAAATGATAAATATACCCTCTTATTTAAATAAAAGAAAAGAAAAAATAAAGAATTAACTGCAACCTTAGGCCAAGATTTATCAAAAAATTACAAATGAGTCTCAAAATCAATTAAAGTAAGTCACCCGAATGATATTCGTAAAAAAATTACTTAAGTAACTTTAATTTGTTTAATACATTTATTAATACTTGTACGTTTATTAATGCTAAATAGTATCAAACACTGAATCTAAACTAGAGACCCTAAAATACTTTGATACGATCTAATCATATCTATGTAACCCTAAATTCAAGGGCGGACCCTTAATTTTTTACATTGAAAAAGTCCACATAATAGATTAATAGTAACCCATAATTTTTAACCCAAGCTCAACAAAAGTATTTTAGCATTGAAAAAAATGGGCCACATTGTAGCCCCCATGAAATTCTTGATTTGTTGTTAAGTTTTTGGGTATTTCTCGTCGTTCAGTCAGTGAAGTCGGAGTTGAACGAGTGTAAGATAACTTTGAAAAGAAATGTAAGGCTAAGGAGAGAGTATCTTCACAAGAAAAGCTTCAAAGAAAAGACCGTTTGCTATGCGAAAAGAAGTGCAAAATCAGAGAAGCCTTGAAAGGTAATTAGAAAAATAAGAAATACTAAACAAGGTTACAATTATTTTTACTTAAAAGTAAAAAAAAAAAAAAAGGTCTAATCTTTTTGTAGATTGCTAACAATTTTAATTTTATTTATTTGCTTATGAGCAGAGGGTAAACCAATTCCTACCAAGCTCATGAATGACGAGGCGGCCCTTCAACAAGAAATTCTATGATGTATAGCTTGAATAAGCATAATATGCATGGAAGGATTCATGTCATAAAATGTTAAGACCACAACCTTCACTCTTTATCCAAACTTGGTCATAGGGATGTTAATGTGGCTCGTCGGCTCTGGCAGCCCGTAGCTCAACCCGAGAAAAGCCCTAGCCGGGCAAGCTCGTGGCTCGGGCCGAGCCCCATATTGGGGTGGAGGTTCATGCCATGGGCCATTTTGGCCCGTTACAAGCCAAGGCCAAGTTTTAGGAGGAAAAAAAAAGGTTGAAAAAAATAATTACTACAGTTGCTTGCAAAATGCAGGCAGCTGTCACATGCAGGTAGCTACACGCAAACAGCAGTCACAAAATATTATTAAAAAAATATAAATAAATAAACAATCGAGCCAGCTCAGCTCAGTTCTGCTTGGCTCGTCGACACCGCTACTTGGTTTTGGATATGAAGAAATGTAGGCGGACTCATATGTACAATAGGTATGGTAGTAATTATTTCTTTGTTATTTTCTAATATTAGATTTGGGAGAAGGAAACTAGGGTTTTAAGTTTGAGATATGAAAGCCTTTCTTAAATTATATGTTAGGAGAATAACCAGTAAGAAAATAGATTCTCCTTTTCAATGAAATTTGGACGAATGAGTGAAAACTTTTGAGAACTATGAAGGATAGATGGATAAGCATCAAGTTGAATTCTTTGGCTTGTATATGATGCATTCTGTGAATGCATGTGTCTCAATTTTACTCAGAAGCATGCCTTCTAATTTTAGAATTAACTCTTCACAATATTTCGTGAAGTTTAGTGGTGGCAATTGAGCCGAGCCGAGCCGGCTCGTGGACTCGGCTAGTTGCCATCGAGCCACGAGCCGCTCGGGCTCGTCAAAATACGAGCCCGAGCCGTTTTTTCACGAGCCCATGAGCCGAGCATGGCTAGTGAAAAAAAACTAAAAAAAAAAAGCTAAGAAAAGTTAAAATAAAACAAAAAATTTGACGAGCCACGAGCTGAGTCAGCTTGGCTTGTGAGCTCGTGGCTTGTTTCTCCACGAGCCGAGCTCGTGGGTTTAAGGGTCGAGCCGGCTCGGCTCGGCTCATTGGCATCTCCAGTGAAGTTGGTTATGACCAGAAGAAATAAAGTGTATTCATCAATTTACATGCTTGTGGCTTTAGGATTAACTCTTTCGATTGCTACTGCTACAGTTGAAAGAGTATTTTCTGCTATGAATATTGTGAAGAATCGATTGCGTAATCAGATTAGAGACCAATTGAAGAATGCTACCTTAGTTGTGTATGTTGAAAAATATGTATTTAATGAAATTGTTAACGAGACTATTATACGGTGTTTTCAAAATATGAAAAATCGTAAGTACAATTGTAAAAAAAAAGTACTACGTTTTGAATATTATCTTTATTGTTGAAATTATTTTTTACATAATTCTGTCTCGTCTTCCAGAACTATAATCATGGGTCCGTCCGCCCCTACCTATATTCCATAATTCAACGCGGTG